GGACTTCAAAATCAACATCCGGGGACAGGACAAAATGGAAGGTTTAAGTCTTATTTAAAGTCAAGTCTACCAAAACTAAATTCCGTCTTACTTTAAGCTACCTTTTTTTTTATTCCTCGGACAGATGAAGTACTCAATTTACTGTTTTTTATTGTGTTCTGCCTTTAGACGGGTGCAAAGATTGAGCATACACGTCTAGACTGTAGAGCCGGAATATTGGTCAGTGAACTATTAACAAAAACGATAACAACAATAAATTTCTATTTCATCAACTGTTGATTGACCTTGAGAATATTAAATAAAGTTCACGCCTGCCAAAAGTCAATCGGCGCCATCTTGCGCGCAGTGCTGTCTGTATTGATCTGTTGTAATCCAAATTTCATAGAAGAAATTTCCTGACAAAGCCCACAGTGGCGAGAGATCGATCATCGGGTCTTTGAGAGAAATCACTTCCTGATGTCGCCCACGGTGGGGTCCAGATGAGACCGATAAGACGCATTGTGCGCCCCATGTTAATGCCGTCAATCGATACGTTTGGTTTTTAAGACTATCAAATTGTGTTTATTTTCAATCAAAACTAATCGATCCATAGACGTAGGAGTGGGGGTAGCTGTATCACTTTTTACACGTTATTTCAGTGTGATATCCATAGTACCCCGTTGATGTCATTCCACTATTCACAGTATCTCATTGATGTCATCATAATATTCACATTTTGCACGTTCATGTCACCTAACTAAAATGTGTTGGTGTCACTCTACTATCCACAGTGTCACGTTGATGACAACCTCCTAAAAGTGTCAGCTTCACGACACCTTGGGTCACGTTGATTTCACCCATATATATATATATATATATATATATATATATATATATATATATATATATATATATATATATATATATATATATATATATATATATGTGTGTGTGTGTGTGTGTGTTTGTACCTTACCCCCTAACAATACCTGCCACCTAGCAATACAATCCCGTCCATTCAACAAACCCTAATCCTTACTCGTTAAACTACCATCCAACACATCTTAAATCGATTGCGTGTCTTCTTCTACAACGACACCTTAAAACTATACTGACTCTACTTCCCCTGTAAAGATAACGACCGACCCTCACCTTCACTTCTCCCACACTTTCTATGAAAGGAACCGTTGTGTGACCCGCTGTATCAGAACAATAAAAAATAACATGCATATAAACACATACAGTCAGATGTACAAACACATGCATGCATTCAGACAGACATACCAACACATTCATGCACACAGACATACATACATGCACTTAGACATACGTACATAGATGCACACAGACGTACATATATACACACAGACATACATGCATACAGACAGACATACATAATACACGCACATATATACATACACACATACATTCACACACATACATACACACACATACATACACACACACAAACATACATACATGCACCTTTGTTTCAGGCTACAGTGGTACCGTTTACAGGTTGTGTCATACATGACACGTGTTGTACATGGCTGACAGGACTCCTGACATTTCTTCCATACATACACCCTGCAATAGTTACTTACATATCTCCAGGTTAAGAGTTGCCAACTGCGCCCCCTCCTCTTCTGAACGTAAGCCTTATATTTACTTTAAAAAACGTTTTCAATTTGTTTTGCATGCCCTTTAAGAAAAGGACAAAAATATGTATTGTTCCTTATATACTATACTATGAGGTTAGTTCATGTGTAATGTATATTTTCCTTACACGTTTATAGATCTAGATTTCAACTCTACTCTCAGATGAGGTTTCAATACATCTATGCCAATTTGTGTTAAAAATACTCAGTACCATGAAGAGATACAAAGTCTCATTTCCTTAACGTTAAGCTGTGTGAGAAAAGGTTTAGTGTATGGCATGTAGCAATATCTGTCCAGACAAAGATCCATAATGACGTGATAGTGGTAGATAAAGAAGACTTTCACTGTATGTGTGATCAGGGTACAGGTGTTACCTGCAGGTTATATGTGTGATCAGGGTACGTGTGTTACCTGCAGGTTATATGTTATTCTTTTTTTACATTCATAAATCTCAGCCAATAAAAACCAGTTTTTGTGCATTTTATCAGACCATTTCACATCAGCTTTTGTGTTTATTACCTGTTTTTTTATGTGAGATCTTCGTGTTTTTTACGTGGGTTATGTATAAATGTCCTGTTGTTACTGTTTAGTTTTCTGTGTGGTTCGCCTTTAGCTTATGGCGTGTGTGTTATGTGTTACTGGTTTTTTAGATAATTTTTCCTCATGTAAACATAAGCTGCTTATAAATGCTTCCAACGTACCATAAATTAATCATCTATTTTCGAGTAAAAACTACTTCGCAAGGATTAAAAATCAAATATCCGACACAACTGTACACAGAAACTATAAAAACACAGTTGTGTATAAGCCGTAAAGTATGTGTTAGTCTGGTTCACCTCTGATCTTATAGGAAGACAAACATCTTCACCGTTTATTTGATAACAGGATGGGAAGCGTTTGAAGAAGGATCGCTGCTGCACATCGGTCCGCAGAAATAACACACATGGCGCGTCCGTATGTGAGCACTCATTACCCTTTGTGGGAAACGCCACGTCATAACTACCCCATACAGACATTCCTTCATACAAGTGTTGTGTCGTAACTACTTTACACATGCAGCTCTTCATAACTATTCCAACCAAATAGTGCGTTCAAAGTCAAAACTACTCCATATCAATTTAGCGGTCTATATAAATATAACTACATATATATATATATATATATATATATATATATATATATATATATATATATATATATATATATATATATATATATATATATCTGTGTGTGTGTGTGTGTGTGTGTGTGTGTGTGGAAAGGCTATATATATATATATATATATATATATATATATATCGACTATACATATTTGACAGTTATTAGACATAGTTTTGTCATATTAATTAAACACGTTGAGTTTTTCCTGTCATCAAATAAACGTATATTATGAAACACATACGATGTTATAGACTGACACGTGTACACCCCCTTACCCCCCTCCTCCACCCCATACCTTCCCTCTTCACTAAGCCACACTTCAAAATTCTAATTCCGTTTTAAAATACCAGGAGAAGTTTTTATGACAACAACCTCACAAAAAAGATAATTAAACCCAGAAATGATTGTTTAGACACGCTAATCCCATCCCTGAGCCGCTGAAGGCCGTAGCTCGGAGCAGACGTCAGCTGGTACACGTCCAAGCATATCCCCCCCCCCCCCCAATCAAATATCAATCACGTTGTGTCGTCTTTAGAGTTCTAAAATAAAATTAAACATGATCCTAGCTGTTGTATAAAAAAATATAAATTTTTAACATAATTCCTAGTTGTTGGTAAAAATATGTTGTGGTTGAGGAAAATTAATTTTTTTTTTAATATGAGCCTTGGTCGTAAATTTGATTAATTTAAAAAAAATTATAATGCTATTTATTTAATAACGCAAAACAAAGCTAAGCTTTTCAAGAGTACAATGGAATTAAGCGATTAAAAAATCTATCTTCCTGATTTAAATTATTTTTTTTTATTTCATGTTTTTACTTTTAATATATTATAACCTTTTTTAATAAGGGTCATGTTTCCTCTCCAGTCAATGTTTAATCTATAGTAATCACTGAATGTGCTGCGGGTGATTGCTTGTCATTATCTCAATACGGTCTGTCTATGCGTGTTTTTATGCGTGGTTGTATAATATGGGAGGTAACTGTAAGAGCTGTTATATGTGTATTTAGATTTGGATTTATTAAACATATACACATAGACATGTAGTGTATAAATAGTATATTTTTAAATTATGTATATAATATTTGTAAAATAATATCAAACTTCATCAGAACCAGATTTTCCTAACAAATATTTTGCTTTATTTAGTTTTACACACCATAATAATTGTACTTACAGAAGTATTATATCAAGAATTAAAAAGAATCAACTGTACTATATGGTGTTTGTTATAGTTTGTTCATTACAGTCACATGTCCTACAAAATTCCACATTGTTAAGACAGCAATCACTTTCACTTTACCTCTACCCCTCCCCCTCATTCAAGTGTGCCTTTTTTTTACCCCCATGACCCCTCCCTTTACTTGATTTCGATGTTTTTCACTAGCGCTGAATTTTTTTTTTTTTTTATTATCAGCATTGTAGGCCTACATATTGTTAAAACAAACAACCCATTGACTTTTCATTTGTAGAAATATTTCAGTTTTGATTACTGTTTGAAATTATGCCAATGATGTTGATGTAGATGCACTTGTTTTATATTGAAAATAAAGGTTTAAAAAAAAAAAAAAAATACAAACACCAACCCCCCCCCCCTCATTGAACAATTTTCTTTCCACTCACCACCCGGAGTCCTGACACTTTCATTTGACATTCACCCCTTTTACTGTTATCCCTTTCAATTTTTTATAATCACATACATGACATCATGTAAATATTTATTATGTACATTTGCAAAACCTTTCGCTTTCATTTGATGTTCGAAATTATGTAAAGAATTTGATGTTGATGTACTTGTTTTTAATACAAATAAAAGTATTCAATAAAAAAAAAAAAAAAAAAAAAAAAAAAAAAAAAAAAAAAAAAAAAAAGTAGACCCATTAGACCTGGGGTCGGCAACCTGCGGCTCGCGAGCCGCATGCGGCTCTTTTGATTTCGAGATGCGGCTCTCCAGCTCCTTGAACAAATACTAATAATCTTAATACAAAAATAAATATTTGAAATTTTAAAAATGTTAGTGGCTCTTTAAAACCAGGGAAATTTTGAAAATTGTAACCTTTGGCTCTTCCGCTTCAAAAGGTTGCCGACCCCTGCATTAGACTATTACTGACATAACACATGTGAATATCTTTTGTCTATACTCTATACTAAGATACACACGGACACACATGCATGTAAATATGTATATATATATATACTCACGTGTGTGTGAACTGTAGGTCCTACTTGTATTCTCTCAGTGCAAATTTCTACAAGAAAGAAAAGACAAAGATGTTGAGTGATATAATTTTTATAAAAATACTTTTTTTTTTATTATGTAACACAATAAAGCTTTTCTATTTTATAAAGTATAGAGTTTAAAAAAGGTATTGTTTAGCTAAATTTTAACAAATGATAGTATTGATAGACCATCACACCAACTCATGCACACTAACGCATATCTAAATCTACAATAATATACACTTTATATAACTATATAATATATATATATATATATATATATATATAGTTATATATATATATATATTTATATATATATATATATATATATATATATATATATGCATATGTGTGTATGTGTCTTATACACACACACACATATATATATATATATATATATAAAATATATATATATATATATATATATATATATATATATATATATATATATATATATATGGGGAGGCGATATTGGCCAATCCGCGTATTGGCCGACTTCGGGCTTTGACCGTAACATATATATATATATATATATATATATATATATATATATATATATATATATATATATATATATGGAGAGATAGGAGTCAATACGTTGGTATCTGACTCGTATCCACCGCGAAGCTGGGAGGGACAATAGGAAACAAATGTACGATAGGAGTCGTTGAGTCAGTGCTTGAGTCAAACTGTATGTGGCAGCAAGGTTAAGTATATGTCAACCACATAGACATATACTTCCGTGTTATCTGGATATGCTATTACTGGCATTTGAATGTAATATATGTATCGAACGGTTATTATATATGTATCGAACGTTTTCAGGCGTGTTTGTTCTAAGTGCAATCCATGCATGAGAAAACAAATCTCTCGAGTCAGTGAGTAGTTGGTAGACTGTACACACGTGATGGGGGGGTGAGACAGCTGGAGTCAGGGTAGTTAGGAGTCAGGGTAGTTAGGAGTCAGTGAGTAGTTGGTAGACTGTACACACGTGATGGTGGGCGAGACAGCTGGAGTGAGGGTAGTTAGGAGTCAGTGCGTCATGATTGACTAGTGTACATTGTGATGATGGGTGCAACAACAAGAATTAAACGTACATTAGGAGTCGAGCGTAAGTGCGTCAGTGCCTGTCTCGTGTACACTGTTATGGTGGGTACAGTGCGTCACTAACTGACTCCCACAATGGGTAGATCCAAGTATTGAGTGACTTATACCTCACCTTTAGAGCGAGATACTTTACATTCACCCAACGTAGACCCCGTTCTTAAGGCTACACATTGGCTACACGGTGGCTACACGGTGGCTACACGGTGGCTACACGGTGACTACACGGTGACTACACGGTGGCTACACGGTGCTAATGGTGACTACACGGTGGCTACACGGTGGTTACACGGTGGCTACACGGTGGCTACACGGTGGCTACACGGTGGCTACACGGTGGCTACACGGTGCTAATGGTGACTACACGGTGGCTACACGGTGGCTACACGGTGCTAATGGTGGCTACACGGTGGCTACACGGTGGCTACACGGTGGCTACATGGTGGCTACATGGTGGCTACACGGTGGCTACACGGTGGCTACACGGTGACTATAAGGTGGCTACACGGTGGCTACACGGTGGCTACACTGTGGCTACACGGTGGCTACACGGTGGCTACACGGTGCTAATGGTGACTACACGGTGGCTACACGGTGGCTACACGGTGGTTACACGGTGGCTACACGGTGGCTACACGTGCACGGTCAACCTGACACAGGGTACGGAAACATGTCACGTGACTCTACGGTCATGTTGTTCTAGATAGCTGACCCCCAGCCGCGGTCAACTCCACTCAAGGGACATAAAGGACATAACCGACGGCTGAATTCTTGCCAACTGTGATTTTATATGGTTATGTTGGGTGGTATGATATATGAATGTTCTATAGGGGTCAGTTAATACTTTATATAAAAAGAAGACAGTAATAAGTCATTGGTTTACAAGACAGTTCAGTTACATTAAATGAGAAGACAATTGCTCTAGAAAGAATATATATATATATATATATATATATATATATATATATATATATATATATATATATATATATATATATATATTTATATATATATATATATATATATATATAAATATATATATATATATATATATATATATATATATATATATATATATATATATATATAATTTGTTCTAATATGTTCAAGTAATGTATTTGGTCTAGAAAAAAGTTCATGTGTCTATGGTCAAGCGAACATGAAACCTGTAAAGCGGTCAACTATCTCTTTAACAAGTCTACAAAACTGTATGTTTTCACTTCAGCTACGCTCAAGCTACTTCAGGTAAAACAAAACAAAAAAGTATCGATCTCATAGAACATGAGGCGAAAATCAATACAATCACTAATACCTTGGGGCGACATCGAACTGCAACTTGACAGGGCATGTATAGCTGCACTGTCATTGTTCTGTTGGCTGGTTGTGTAGGAAGAATACAAGATAAGCACGAAATGCTTCGTCAAACAGAACGCACATTGTTTCAAGGCTAACGCGGATTATTTGCTCAAATAAAACGCACAATGTTTCAAGGCTAAGTCGGATTATTTGCTCAAATAAAACGCACATTTTTTCAAGGCTAAAGTGGATTATTTGGTCAAACAAAACGCACATTTTTTCAAGGCTAACGCTGATTATTTGCTCAAATAAAACGCACATTTTTTCAAGGCTAACCCGGATTATTTGCTCAAATAAAACGCACATTTTTTCAAGGCTAACGTGGATTATTTGGTCAAATAAAACGCACATTTTTTCAAGGCTAACCTGGATTATTTGCTCAAATAAAACGCACATTTTTTCAAGGCTAACCTGGATTATTTGCTCAAATAAAACGCACATTTTTTCAAGGCTAACCTGGATTATTTGCTCAAAAAAAACGCACATTTTTTCAAGGCTAAAATGGATTATTTGCTCAAATAAGACGCACGTTGTTGCACAATAAACATAGATCTAGTGTTTTATTTAATACGAAATTCATATTGTTGCTTAATAAGCACGTAGCCTTTTGTTGTACGAAACGCATAATGCTGCTTAATAAACATGAAGCCTTTGTTATATGACATTGATAATGTTGCATAATAGACACATAGCCTTTTGTTAAATGCGTAACGCTACACAATGCGAATCACGCTACACAGCGATACGTTTGAACACACATACACATAGACCTGGGAGCAATCAAAATAAAATGTTACTTTAGTAAGGCAAATACACGTTTTTAAAACTTATACAAACGATTTGTTAGTCAGTGTAATAGAAGCTTTAACAGGCCAACAAAAGGTAGCATTGGTAAGAAAAGTAGATGTAGATTTAGATGTACTTAGGCTAACAAAAGGTAGAATTGATGAGGGAAGTACAAGTAGGTAGAATTGGTGAGAAAAGTATGTAGATGTAATTAGGCTAACAAAATAATAGCGTTAGTGATGAAAGTAGACGTAGATGCAATTAGTCTAACAAAAACGTAGCATTGGTGATGAAAGTAAATGTAGATGCAACTAGGCTAATGAAAAGGTAGCATTGGGGATGAAAGTAGAAGTGTCAACTAATAAAAACAGTGCGGCTATTGTAGATGTAATTAGCCTAACGATGAATAGACTAGATTAGTGAAATCATACGTTTTGACCACATGCCCACTTTACCAGACACCAGATAGATTTGTGCTGAAGAAGACATCAGGTATGTACACATGTTAGTATGGAGTGGGCAAAGGGACATTCTACTGAGTGATTCGAACTCGAGACTTTAGGGTTAACATTCTAGCGTACTTTCTCTATGCCACGTCGTACCATTACAAGATAGGGTAATCCAAACTAATTTATATTTTATCACCGTTAGCAATTCTGAAAGACACCAAACACTAGACTTGTTTTCCAAGTGTGGGTTTTCAATAAAAAATCAACAAAGATACGTGTGTGTTCCCTGCAAGAGACTTAACGAATACATGTCGGGAATACAGCACACAGGGATTGGAATAATCCATAGCCAGAGGAAATATTTTATGACTGGTATTCCCGGCACGTTCAAATAAATGACTCTACAGATTCCGATGGCTAGGATAAGGAGCGATAACCCAGCCAGATTACGCGTATACAAATTCGCACCGAGAGTTATTGGATCTGTCGAGTTATGGAAATGTTTTATTAAGCACCAATCCAAATTGGAAACAGTAGCGGCGCGGTGTTGGTGATCGAGGTGGCGGATGGAACGAGAGATTTGATTGGTTAAAATGATGTTGAATTGAATTTACTCTTTTCTTTTCATTTTAAGGAAACTATTTTGTTCTATAGCAGAGATCTAAGCACGGCAGTAAATAGGTTAGGTTTAGTGTACCATAAGTTGTCGAGTTAAGGTTTGATTTTGGGGGGAGGGGCAGGTGTTTTTGTTTAAAATACAAAAGACAATATATAACAATTTATAATTTAAAGGAAATGGTTATGGTAATTTGAAAACCTCAACACAATTTCTCAAAATTCTCAATTATCTTAACAAAATTTGAAATAAAAATAAAAAATCAAGTGCATTTTTTAAAAAAAATGGAATGTTTAGCGATATAAATATGAAATTGAGTGTTGGGAAAGTTTCAATCAAGGCTGATATTGATACGACGATATGACGTCAGCGTGACGTCAGCATTATGTCAGCTTGCCAAACTGCACCATAAATTTCTTTACATTTGAATTAAAGTACATCTTAATGGAATTATTTACACAAGTTATTTAGATTTATTTAATTGCTTCCTTATTCAAAGCAGATGAAGACAGGCAGAAAGTTAAAGTATTTAGGCAGAAAAAATCGGAGCACAAAGAAAAAAATCTTATTTCATCTAATTAACATAATTAATTCCAAAATACTGCTGCAGCCGCTATTTATGTCATGCGCGAGTCTCCTATTTAGCAGGCGTTAACCCGTGGGTCATCTGCCGCCATTGTTACCCTGGGGTCTCAGACTGTCCGGCACCCACGGGCTA